TCTTGGGCCTGCAGTATAAAGATGACTTCTCAGAATTTCTCACACCCTTCCGTATTAACAGGAGCTTCTTTAACCTGAGCCTACTGCATTAGTGGCTTATCAACGATATCCTTTTCCCCTCCATTAGTCATATGCCCCATCTGCATTCCAGCTTTATTGCTATTCAGATTCTTTCTCCAACCCCTCCACTTTGTGCCAGCCCTACAGAAGTTCACCTTGGATCCATTATTTCTATTAACAACCACACTCTCACTAGAGAGAATGACAAAACAGGCAAGTTTGAAAAAGAACATGGGAAACCACACTGGTTTTGCATGGCCACGTTTAGGTAGCAGGGGGTCACAGGGGTGATTTCTGTGCAAAGGCACCAGAAGCTTCCCACATGTCTGACAGAGCCCATGTCAGCCAGCCCCAAGATGAACCTGCCATTGGCTAAGGTCAAGTCCATCAGTGATGGTAGTTGCACCTATGGGACCACTATTTGATGATGCAAAAAAACCCCTCTGCAACAGCAATTGTGCCAAAGTGTGTTAGATAACATGAGAGAACAGCTGTGGAGACCCCCAGGCCAGTGAAGAAACAAGGGGGAGAAGGTGCTCCAGCTGCCAGGACAGATTCCCAGGCAGACCACAGTGAGTCAGGCTGTCCTCCTGAAGCCAACACAGGTCCATGGTGAAGCAGAGATCCACCTGCAGTTCACAGAGAACCCCACAGTGTGACCCTGTGGGAAGCTCATGCTACAGCAGGGTCATAGCAGGACTTGTGCCCTACAGTGGAGCAGTCTATTCCTGAAGGACTGCACCCCATGGGGGGAGAGGGGGGAACCCGCATTGGAGCAGTTTGTGAAGAACTGCAGCCCCTGGAAAAGACTCAAGTTGAAGAAGTTCATGGAGGACTGTCTCTCTGGAGAGAGGGCTGGTTCCTGATGCAGCCTGGAAAGGCTGCTGGCCTCCCTTGCTGCAAGAAAAGACTGAATCTAGAAATCTGCAGGTGTCTTCACCAAGTTTCTCATGTGCACAGTTTCTCATACAGTTAAGAAATCATGCCATATGCAAAACAGGTGACAGTGGAGTAGCCAGAGCACAGAAAGCCCCATTTTCTGCACACCTTTTGAAACAAGCTGAGGTTTCTCAATACAGTAATGAAAATAATGTATTTAAACCTGTATTTCTACACTCAAAAAAGACTATTTTCAGGAAAGATGAAGGCATGGAAGGCTCATCTGAATTTTTTTTTTAAGAAAAGCCCCACCAAACTCTTAAGTAGAACACATATTCCCATATATACTACAGCCAGTAGCACATCTTAAAAGAACTGAAAATCCTTTCCCAGAGGTATCTCTCTAAGTCCCACTTCCAGGGACTGTGGCTCTATAATAGATGAAATTACACCATTTGGATCAGGATAAAAACTAGAAGTAATTGATCAGGTATTAAACCTGCTAATATCATATAATTCCTGTCATGCCAGTGATACCCCATTGTCATATCTCACTCAGATCTCACTACAGCCCCATTACCTGAAAATTCTTATTTCTGGAATAGGGGAATTAAAATTTTCAACTACACACTTCCCCCCCCCCCGCCTCCAGAACAACAAAATGACAGCACACGTCTTCAAAAGCAGAAATCTGCATCTCAGATACCTGTTAGGCCTTCTAGGCTTTGTAGCCTTGCTACCTACTAACAGGTATCAAAACTGTGTTCTGTACATAAAGATCCAAAGCAACATTTGTAGCACTTTACAGTGTGCATTATTACATTTGTAGTAACACAGGAGTTTTATTTGAAAAAGACAAACTGTAGCTTTTGCAGAACTGGTGAAATAGAGAAGGCAAATGCAAACAACCATCTGCTAATGAGGAAGTGATAGCTTTGGGAAACACCTGTAAGGTTCAAAGACAACAAAAGATAGAAGAATAAATTGTACATTTTAAGTCTTATCTTTAACAAGACACTTGGATGAAATAAAAGATAAACCAAACACATGCTGAGGGTAATAGAGAATATAGTAGAAACACACGCTCAGTCTTTCTCAATTTAAGAATACACATAACCCTGTAAGACCGGTGCAATACAACAATAGCCCAAAATGCTCTTTATTAGTTGTAATTGGCTAGCAGGAATAATTAAGGGTGATGTCTTACAAAAGGCCAGGTACTGCACAAGTCACATTTAAAGAGCAGGGCATATCCCAAAGCACAGAAGAGAGACACAGGACAAACAAGTCACAGCCTATCTTAGATAGGAAAATTAAAAAAAGAAAAATCTTGCAGTTCCTTCAGATCTCCACAGGATCACCCAAGGCCCTAATTTTACACAACAGCCTACAGACTCAGAAAAGGCCATGGTATGAATAATCATCCCTATGAAGACAAGTGAGGTATACAATGACAGCTCCAAGTAGGAACCTCACTGCATGTTGAAACAACCAGGTATCCCACAGGATTTGGCCCGAGGTCCAATTCACTCAGTCCTCAGCATCCCAATTTGCACTACTGTAGGAGGATAACAGCAGCAGGGCTGCGAAGTTTACCTGCTTAATACATGCAAAGCTCTTTAGCATTCTCCTCCAATCCCCTCATAGATGTGCAAATCATTGTATTCTTACCGTTCTGGGATAATGACTGCAATTTGATGGCTTGCAGAAGGAGGCCTCTCAGCAGGGACGTTTTCATATGAAGGCTCCCTTAGGAGCTGGTGGGGGTAAGAATTCTGAAAGTGTAGCTCAAGGGCCAGGCATTGAAGGAATCTTTTCCTTTGCTTCCTGCCCTATCACTACCATATTGTGACACCTTGTCAGAGAATTTGAAAGAGGCACTGCAGCAACATGAAATTGAATAAAGGATATTGAAATGCTTCATCTAAGCCCAAGTCGGGAATTCAAGAAAGTAAATGCAATTTCATTTTTTAAAAATTATACAGTACGTTAAAATACTCTTTGTTCATTTGGCTCTTTAAATGTCCTCCTCATGCAATGCAGTTTCTCACTGACCAATTAATGAAAACAGCTTAAAGTGGTTACTCCAAGACCCTTGCTTCTTGTGACTGGTTTATGGAATTTTGAACACTCTACTTAAACAGTACAGGATGCCGAGGATGCTGCTGGCATAAAGTCTATGTTTAACTTAAATGATGTTCACATGTGTGTTTGCAATTAGGACTATAAGCACCAGAAACAGGTGATCCATAAGATAATTCATAAAGACCAGCTTCTTCCAAATGTATTTTGGACATCATCTCCTGAAGTTCAGACCTTTGACTCCCTCCTGCAAAACCCACTTTACTATAATGCTCACACTTGAAAAAAAATTACCAGCAACTATCATGCATTACTTTTTTCTCCGCTAAGTATTTTACACCAAAGCCATAATAATTTAGTTAAATACTGATAAAACTTCTCTGGAGCAGATTTTCGGTTCATCTGCAAGAGCTCCAAGTTAAGCTTAAAAGGCCTCCAACTGACCAGATCTTTTCTTCAAATTGATGGAAAAAGAGTTTGAATTTTTGTTTTCTCAAATGTCAATATCTACTATCGACAGGAAATGCATCTCTTGAAATGAAAGCTATATTCAGTGTCCTTTGAAGTGGCTTTGTTAATGCAATTGGTCACTTAAATGGGGAAGTAAGGGCTAAGAAGCAGAATCTTTTGAAGGGCAGAAACTTTTGAGCAGTTGAAATAATTCCACTTAAATAATGCAAAAGTACATGTAGGAAACAGTCTGTAAATATGCCTGGCCACTCCCCCTCCACTACCAACCCAAGAAACCCCAAACACCTTCACCCAACAGAAACTCCCAAAAGACATTAGGTGTCAAAGTTCTAGTACTACCTGTGAGCCAACCCATCACTGAGCAACTGCATTGGAACTGTATTTTGAGCTGATTAGAGGAGGAGCAGTGTGTATATAAAAGGTGATGTTCCTTCCACAATACAAGCCCTGTTAGTTTAGGATCAATTCTAAGTTAGTATGAAGAACCAGAGAACTATTTTTTAAGTATTTCCTTTTATATACTTTTTCATGCTGATAGAATGTTCATTTTCACTTCTGGTAGATGGTGGTGGTGAACACAGCTTATCCCTTCTGACACCAGACTGGGAGCAGAATAAAACTGAAAAAACACCCAACTTATGTTGGTTTTGCCTCTGGCCTCATCACTCTGTAGGATGTTCCTGGCATCGAAGGAGTAAAGGAGGTAAAACAATTGCAGTAACAAGGAAACACATGAACACCCAATGCAATTCTCTAAGACAAGCAGAAAACAGCAGCAACAATGATTGGAATAGCACCTAAGTTTTTATCTTCTCCTTTCTAGTCTCTAGAGGGAATTCCAAAGGTTAAGACACTAGACAACTTTCTGAAAACTCAGAGACCAAGTTTCACACACCCATTCAGGTTTATATTTTTAGACTCTTTTTGTTTCATTTTGAAAGAAAAATTTTCCTTCCAAACTATTCAGAATTTTTACAGATGCTTACTGAAACCTACAAAAACGTAACTAGTTTGAATTCACTTACACCAACTTCCTTTTCTCCCAACATACCTGGTTTAGTGAGCAGATCAAAACCAGTTAGAAATGTTTCACTGTGGGATTACAAACACCTTTATAAGTGGAGAAAATATTAAGAAAAAGTTTGTAGTGAAAGACCAGACCAAGAAAAAACAAGCTGCTATGCCTTCTAAGTTGTCTGCATTCTTACAGCAAAGTACTACTATAATCCTTTTAATAGATGTGATGAAACTCTTAATAGAGGTGAGTATCCCTAAGGAAGCAGATTTCAGGCATAATATAAGTATCATAGTTCAATGGGAAATTACTTTTTAGACAAAATGAAACAAGATGTCCACAATTCTCTTGATTGTGAAAATAAAAATATACATGTATCTCTCTGCGAGAGAAAAGATCTTTATCAACATAAAATTGAAAGTGATACTGAAAATATTTTAAACCCTGCCAACCCCCAAAACACATCTGCATTATAATTTTAAATACAAACATATGATATATAATCAGAATTTATTTATATTCACCTCTGAACAGGTAAAACCAAAAAACCGAAACTAGTAATTAGTAAGCAATAATCAGTTTTATGCCAAAAAATGAAAAGCAGCTTTGACAACATTTTAGACCCACATTCTATACCAACAATGAATTTCAAAATAAAACCCTAAGATACTCTTAAGTTATTAAAAATTAAAACAGTTATTTTTAGATCAAAACAAATAATCAATACAATTACCAGAGATATGATGAGAAACAACACTAAACTTAAATTCAGGCTCTCTTTGCTACTAATTTAATTACACATAAGAAAAAACCAAATCCAAGCAATGTTACCACTCCCATTTTTACTGATCTTTTTTCCAAGGTGGCTGCTTTTTCTGGAACTTTCACTTGGTTAGGTTCATTCTTTTCTTCATACTGAGACAGATGTTAAATCCATGTAAAAAGTGCAGAAAAAAAAAAGTTAGTGCCAAAGCTTCTTAAGTAGATTATAAAGCACCCATTCATAAGAATCTGCATGCATCTAGGACTGACATTACTTCTTTCTGTCTCTGTCCTACTTAATTTGAAATAAATGTGTGTAAATGTTCACCTTATCTGATGTTCAATTATTCTGAAACATATATTAGTAAAACAAACTGTTCATTTACAAACGTAATTACTCAGGAGTGAACCACTGTTATTATTAGATGCTACAAAAATCTAGTAACAAACAATAGAACCTTGACTGTCAAATGTTTTAGCTAGAACTTCTGCCATTTAATTACTAAAAAACCCTGTTTATTTAAAAAGAAAGTTAAATATTTAACAGATTAGACTTACTGAAAATTACAGGGAGAGTGGAAAGTACCTAACAAGTGCCATCTCAAATACATGTTGAACCTGAGTGGAGCCTTGTCATAAAGGACAGCAGGGTTAGGGTCTGATTTCCTACCTTAGTTACAATGCTTGGAAGGCTGTCTCATTTACCATACTTTCAAAAATTATATGCTAAGACATTTACTGCTGGAAAAGTCTTGTCATGACTAAGACAGCGAACAGTACTGAAAACTTCAAGGGAATTTATACAAACATTTAATGTAAGAAGTTAAACTGTGTCACTTAGATTCACAGGTTCACAATAAACACTTGGGTGCTCTACATTCAAAACTGCCTCATCACAAATTAAGTAGCACAAAAATGTCTTGTATTAAAGTATTCATAAGTGAAATTCATAAAATATAACAGGATTTTACAAAGAAGGATTTTCTTTCTTGAAGTAATGAGAAGGCTGTTTCACACAGGATACAGACACTGTGCTTTGTCTTGACAGCTATAAAACCTTACATCCTTACATACAGATAAAGTCAAGTGGCACCAAACTTGGAATCCTCCCAGCCCTTATAACTGGCCTGCATATAGAGGAGGCAAATATATACACATGTGATGATTGCATATGCAAAAAAAGGAATAAATAGCTAATAAGTTCTTTGCCACAGTTGCTACCTCTTAATATATTTGGTGCTAAGTGATTTATTGGGAGAAGGCTGTTATATTACATTAAATTTACTTAAACTACAGGAAATTGCATTAGTAGCATTATACTCAAGGTCTGAGTTCCACATGGCTTCGTTCAGCAACAGATTCCTTTCTGACACTGATGCTCCATTTACCCTACCCCAGCGGCCGTTCATTTTACCAGCCTATTACTTAAAATGACCCCATCTGACAAGAGAGTGTCACTGTGTTGGCTTGAGAATGACTGATGTGGTGCTAACATCTAGCCTTGACCTCTCCCACCCTCTTCTTTTGTCACTCTACAGAGTTATCTGGGATGCCTCCCATTCAATCCATAAAACCTTAGTATCTTCCTTGTGAGTCAATAATTCCAAACAAAAGATTCCTTAATTAAAAAGTAAGAGTGTAAGTATTCAGCATGGCCTCTATGCCACAGTGGTTGTCCAAAAGTACAGGGATACATTCCAATTATTCCTTTGTGCAGTAGAAAGAAAAAAGTAGATTATGCTTTCTTATGGAGATTTTCCACACTTCCGTGGAATATTAGAGATTATTTCTCTTCCACCATGAAAAGACAAAAGGGGGAGAGATCGATGCAATGTCCAAGCTAAGGCTGAACAGCCTTTGGCAGACCAAGGTATGAAACATTTCCCTGACACATGTCATATTTGAGGTTGCATCAGAAACTCGTACACAGTATTTAACAGCCTCACACACACACACTCACCTCCACCACGAGGTCCTTCAGTTTGTGAACTTCTTCTTCCAACTTTTTAACACTGCAAATCACATCTTTGCAGACTTCAATATAGCATTCAGTTGGTGCCCAGGGCAGTGCCATCTGTTAATAATTACAGTTATTAGCCATAATTACATAATTGTAGATTTTCATATAGTATTCTACAGTTTATGTATTACAAAAGACAGTGCCAGAAAAGGTCTATAATTGCATTTATGCTGGGTTTTAATTGTATAATTTATGCACAATAAGCTACTACTCCCTAGCAGCCTTTGTTGGAAACTTTTGTCACTTTAACTCTCCTATCAGCAGAAACATGAAGAAACAAATCTATCTCGTTTAGTTGTATGGCCTAACTCTTTGAAATATATTATTTTTAAGAAGTGTCCTTTAGAGAAAGAGCACTGGACAGCTTTCTATAACTATGTAACAACCAAGAGGGTTAATGAATATTCATCGTTTTTATTTTACAAGGTGGAATAATGCACTCTAAATCAATCTTCTTTGTGGTTGAATACCTTGTGAGAATTTTTGAGGAAATGGTTATTCATGGTCTGCACAGGAATGATCAGCTTACTACACTCTTTATTCAACTTCTGAAGAAACTTGAGCAATTCATCTTCACTAGAAAAATAAAATTGTTATTTGTCAAATGCTGTAATTTCTTGCAAGCTGAATATCACATATGAATTTTCAACACTGGCTAGTGAGTTAGACATGCAGTTTCATAACATACAAAAAACCCAGTATCATTTTAAAAGTTAGTAGGTGTGAGATATTTAACATCTTAGCAAGTTGTTGGGGTATTTTCCCCCTGTTTGTCCCATCCCCTGCCTCCCCTGCCTTATTTCTGAATGACAATATTTCTGACCTGCACCTTACATTTTTGAGGTAGATGTGAGGGGAAAAGTCTGGTTTGTACTTTGGAGCTAGGAATGAAATGACTAGGTTTAGGGTAACATAGTCTCCAACAGAGTTGAAGAAAATAAGAATTCAATAATACTGGCTTGGCCCTTGGATCTGGAAACATATACCTCAGAGCCTAAAATATCTGACATCTATTTTGAAGAAAATTTTTAGTTGGTGCTCAAACACAAGCAGGAAGTCAACTCTCAAAATTAGTTTGACCCATGTCTCCAAAAAGTGGAGAGAAAGATAGAAAAAATTATCAGATTATTTTCAGCTTTAAGTTTCTAAAGCTTCCACATGACACTGACTCAGCTTTACTGGAATGTCAGAGAATTTTAGTCATAAGTCATGGTGCCAGCCAGAAACTTGCTGCTGCTCACCACGAAGAAGCAAAGAGGGCAAGGAAGAAGATCATCCAATTGCTTTTACTGAGTGAGCTCTCAAACCCTGAAACTCCTGAAAAGTGTCTGTATCTCCAGTAGGAAAGTTTCTGCTAACTCTAAGATATTTGGGTCAACAACAGGCAGGGCCAAAACAAGAGACAATTACATGTTCCTCCTGCAGAGCTTCTTGTTCTGCAGAGCCATAGTATCTGAATAAACTAACTCAGACTCCAACATTCCTCCATTCCCTAGGCAATCAGCTATTGAATGCAGACATGTAACTAAATGCAACATACCCATACCACTTGCTTCTTTCCTCTGAGGTCAAAAAGGTATCCACAAAATTTGTCAAACAGCTAAACTAAGCTACACACCAATGCAGCACATGTATCCAAATGGAGATGGAATTTAGGCCATTGAATGCCACAGAGTGCTTTCCTTCAACTTTGGGCACAGGATCATTAGTGAGTAAAATTTCTGCCACTGCTCAGGACATCTGTGATTTGCAATAGTGCTGAACTGCTAAGACTTTAACATTTAATACAGAAATATGAAGAATCATTAATAGGTATGCTGAAGGTTTAAAACCAGTACTGGACATGGTTTTCGTGAAGATGGAGAAGTACAAACGCTAATTAGTTTGTTTTTATAAAATAAACTATTGCTTGTTTCAGAACAATGTAACTCTGAGTATTTCAGGTAAAGAGCCCAAACACTAAACATCTGGAGATAGTCTAAAAGCTTCTTCCACATTACTACAGTCAAGCCATAGTCATAAATACTTTCTTCTACTTAGATAACTTTTTAGCTGGCATCTTTTGTGTTTCATTACAAAGGAAATTATCTTTTGGAATTCTGGAAGGATTCTTGGCAAATACAAAGTATTTTTCATAGGCTTGAATTAGGGAGGGGGAAAAAAGAAAAACATTTGTTCTATTATACTATTTCACTACACCACAGTTCTTAAAAAACTCCCCATTTTCATAGAATTTTATACTTGTTGAGGTGACATAGAAATGGAAATAATGTTTTCAAAAAATTATCCCCTTAAAAAAGAATTAATGGCTGTCAAAACATCAGTGGCTACACAGTGCTGGACACTCTGTAAGTTTATAATCAATCAGTTCAAGATTTTCTACTATGTTAGTTTTTCTATGACTTGATGACTGATTCTCCTTCTCACAGAATGACTGAACAAGTGGGAAGTAAAATCTTTATATAATAGCATGTAAACATAGCCTAAGATTTTAGTCTAAAGGTCAGATGCCTAGAATACATGTCAGGCAATTTTCTAGAAAACTATGCAGTGCTTGCTATAACTGAAGTGCTGTCATATTTTGCGTACTTCAATCTTTAATTAATCAATTATTTTCTGGTTTTGAGAACTACATATGATCTAAACCCACACTATACTAGGAGTAAGATATGTCACTGGTGTGTGAGACTGCACCAGATACTGTGTGGGTGTTTCATTGTATTTGGCCGCACACAGTGAATGGATAATTTTCTTGCATTTCTCTACTTACTCTCTCTGTTCAGATTTTTAAGATGCTCTGCTTGAATGTATGTACTAACCACTACTGTGGAACAATCTGAAAAAAAGCATACACTTTAACACAAAATGCCTAAAGCTTAAACTGGGAAAAGTCACCTTAAACTGTAACTAATTTTTGCTTGCTGAAGAGTCAACATCCATTTCCAAAGGCATCCAACAGATCCCTGGTCCACCACCTCAGCTCAGCAGCAAAGCCTCTATTTTAATACAAATGGCTCAGGTGCTGTTAGAGCATTTATGGTGTCTCTGTATCATACTGATTTATATCCTCCTGCATGCTGGAAGTTTAGTAATTCAGTACTGCAGCACATGTACACATTTGCAAGATTCTCTTCTGAGAGTACACAGTTGTACTGATGGAGAACTAAAGAACCATAGAATATCTGGATTGGAAGGGACCTTACAGATGATTTAGTTCCAACCCCTCTGCCATAAACAGGGACACCTTTCACTAAACCAGCTTGCTCAAAGTTCCATCCAAACTGGCCTTGAATGCTTCTAGGAATGGGACACCCACAGCTCTTCTGGGCAACTTATTCTAATACCTCACTACCTTCACAGCAGAGTTTCTTTCTTACATCAGTCTGAAGCCATTCCCCCTTGTCCTATCACTACATGCCCTTGTAAAAAGTCTTTCTCCAGCTCTCTGGTAGACCCCTTTTAGGTCCTCTCTCCTCCAGGCTCAAGTCTCTCAGCCTGTCTTCATAGGACTGGTGCTCCAGCCCTCTTGTTCATCTTTGTGGCCCTCTCCTGAACTCCCTCCAGGCTGATGTCCTTCTTATGCTGGGGGTCCTCGAGCTGGCTGCAGTAGTCCAGGTGGAGTATCATGACAGTGAATAGACAGGGAGAATCCCCTCTCAACCTGCTGGCCACTCCAGCTGCAAGTGCACATTTGTTGTGTCATGCAGAGCTTCTTCCAGGAGCTGAATTTGATGATCCTTGTGGGTCTCTTCCAGCTCATGATATTCTGTGTTTCTGTAATTCTTGTCAGCCAACACTCCCAAGTCCATCTCCTCAGGGCTGCTCTCAATCCACTCTCTGTCTAGCCTGTACTGGTGCCTGGGGCTGCCCTGACACAGGACACTTACACTTGGCCTTGCTGAATTTTATGCACCCACCACTCAGGGCTGTCAAGGTCTGCCCTGGGTGTATTCCTTTCCTCTAACACAGCACACAGCCCTGTGTCATTGGTACACATACTGAGGGTGTTCTCAATCCCAGTCTCCATGCCTCCAGCAGAGATGTTAAACAGCACCAGCCCCAACACCAGCCCCTGAGGAGGGTCACTCCTCATTAGTCTTCATCTGGACAGAGAGCCGTTGCCCAACACTCTTGCCCAGTGTGAATGTTCAGCCAATTCCTGATCTCGGAGTGGTCTCTGAATGAAATCTCCTCAAAGAGCAAAAGAAACATCAAAGTCCTCTATCAGGACATGAGCTCTCTGCTCTTCCAGCCCATCACAGCTGTTCAAGAGCTTCCTCAAATGCCTCGCACATCCTCCCAAGTCTGAGAGCTCAAACTTTGCATTGTGATGCAAAAACATTCCTAAAGCAGGCCACAAAGTCTCTTTTTCAAAAAGACAGTAAAGGTACCAGCACAGCACCAGCACTGGGAGCAGTCAGTGTTTGAATGACTGGGAGTGGAATACATACCGGACAGTCTCATGGACCTGGGACTCTGAAGACAACACCATGGCAGGATCACATCATGACTTGAGTGCTAATGCAGTGTCAGTGCAGTGCAGCTTCCTCCAAAGCACAGACATATACAGACTGAATTTGAACCCAAGCACATTCTTTGGGCCGATGAACAGAACTAACAGGGGCTCTAGCCTTACAGCATTCAAGTAGTACAGACAGCTCTCCCCAGTATTTAGGAGAGGGAAGGGATATCTATGTGAGTACTAGCACAGCTGTCAGATCACTAGTCAAGAGGAAAACACACTTCAAAGAGGAACTGAACCTTTACTATCTAATCCATTTTTAGTAGCTATACTTGTATAAGTTGGAGAACTAGGAAGAGGAAAGATATGAGCATGAAATTTAAATCTAGGTTTGTCTTCCAGGAAAAAAAATTACACATAAAGGACAAGAGATTTTGGAAATCTTATGGCTCCCTTGTACTTACTATATACTTCACTTTGTGCTGGATGTGGAGTGCTCTAGCAGTGCTTAGGGAACTTACCAAGTTTAATAAGGTTGCTAAGGAACACACTTCTCAGCTTGGGCCTGGATTCTATGGTACTGCACAAGACTGTACTAAAAGTATGAGAGGTGTTGCACAGCTGATGCCTTAATACTATAATGGGAAAAAATACCAAGTTGGAATGGGAGTCTGAAAGAGTAACCCTTTCTTAAAAAAATTCTCCTTATAAACCTACTGATATATATAATCTATGATAAGGAAAATAGCTTCTAAACTTGCTTAATCGGTAAGATAAAAAAAAGATATATTTTATATATTTTAGAAGCCAGTTAAGCTTCCAATGGAAGAGAAAAACAATGAAAAAAATCTAGAATCCAAACAGAAGTAGCATTTATGATTTAAGATACACATGTACAAGATATAATTTTATGAGTTGAAAATTAAGGGCCTATGCAGAAGTTATATGCATCTCTCCCTCCCATGCTTTTTTTTAATTTATCTTAAAATTTATTTATCTTAAAATCAGATAGATTTGACTGGAAGACTAACAGAGCCTACCTTGTCTAAGCTTTTGTTTGTGCAAAACACACCCATCACGAGCTCCCATAATCTACTAACTTGCATATTCTCATGAATGCTATGCATTAAGGGTAAAGTGAGACAATTTTACCATTGAGCCACAGAAAATAACATGGTCACCTTAAATTGTTAACATTTCACTTCCATTTCCTTAGATATACTGTTAATACCTCAATTCCAGCTTCATAATTTCAGAGATGTCTTCAAATTTTTTTCCTTCCATTTGCAGATCATTAATAGCATCTAGGAGTTTCTGCTGATCCCCAGGATTTGTAATGCCAATCTAAATTTAAAGAGTAATTCCAAATATTATTTACTTTTAGACTTACTAGACAGAACAGTACAGTAACACATTTCACTAGCTTCTAAATATTAAGATTTAAAAGAAATTTTTTTAAGTTATTGCAACCAGCTACAATGCATGAAAGTGGCAAAGGAAAAAATAAAACCACAGAAAATATTCAATGATGGAGAAAAAAATTACAAGAGATGAGGAACTGCTGAACTGAAACTGCACAGGATACTCAGAAAACCTGTTTAGGGTTTATTAAAAAAAATAGTAATAGTAGTTTGCCTAAGTACCCCTGTCTTGTTAGGATGTTAGGCTTTCCATTTCAGAATGATCTGAGTCATCTCTGACAGCAAGATAATGAATCATCATGATGGTGATACAGCATTAACTCAGAGAGAAAGAGTGGAAATTATCAAATCAGCATCAAATGGAGAATTTTAGAGGAAGACATCTTTTTAACTGAAGGAAAACAAAAAAGATACATACTATGTAACAGATTCTCCAAGTGATGCCTGGAGCAGAAAACACTGGCAGCTGTGCTATCCATCAAGCATCTCAGATTAAATTTTAAGTCATATTTAAATCCTAGACTAAGAGTTTTCTTGCAGAACACTTAGTGAAAAAGAACAGTTCATTTTTAAAAAAAATAAATGCTTTTGTGCCACATTCAGTATTTCCCTTGCTCATCTGACAGGCTGCTGTGCAACACAGGACTTCAGGTGTTAGCAGCCCTAACATGCTCCCCCACACAAGTGAAAACCTCTTGACTTTGCTCCTAAGGCACCAGCTGATGACCTGACTCAACAGGCACAGACCACTCCTGCGTTTGAGACTGCAAGGATCTCAGAGTCTCCAAACCCAGACTATATGGGACCCTCACTGATATTCTGTGGGCTTGTTACCTTCTGCACCCTCAGAAATCTGGAAGATATTAGTGTTTGCAGTCGCCCAGATTTCTATTGGAAAGAATTTTGAACGAACAGCTGATAACCCACATCAGACCAACATTCTAAGGAAGACACTGTGCCCAGGGAAAGACTTGCTTTTTTCTGAGACCCAATGGTATGACACTCATTGTTCATTGTGACAGCATAAAACTGTCCTCCAGGTTCTCCACCAATCAGAACTAAAAAATAATTAAAGGTACACTTGTGAGCCCATAAACATATCAAAACCATGTTAAGTTTATAGACAAATAAGTCCTTCAGTAATGAAAAATCCCAATAAGATTAACTGGGACTTCAACTACAGGTGTCAAGAACTTTTGAACTTTTTAATAGGTTTCCATGGGTTCCTGAAAGAATTATACTGAAGTCTTTTTAGCAAATATCACCAGCAGCCTTAAGATAGAGAGATCTGAGTTTTGTATGAATAATCTGCTCCACCTGTGTTGAGCTGCAAGTTTGCTCAATACATTAGATTTCAGGTTTGCCTTGTGGAGCCCTATCTGGTACAAAGCAATATTTTCTTAAGGCTTACAAAGCATTACAGCAGTCATTTTATCATGAATAAGTAAGCAGATTTCTGCTATAGTTATTCTTGAGGAATTAAAACTATCTTGCTTAAAGTAGGAACAATTGTGAAGACTGCCTTTGCTTTTGACTCCACCTTCTCATTCCTGAAACCAGCAAATCAGGATGCAGCTTTCTGACCAGCATATCAGAAAGATGCACTTTGTTCCCCTAGAAATAAAACATAATTTTGTTCTTCTGCAAATCGATCACTGAGCACCACCACAGCTTGAAAATATTTGTCTGGAACTAAAGAATGTAATAAATATCACTACAGATTAAGCTTTTTACCACCACACTGATTCTGCACTTAGTGCTAAAAGGTGCAGAACTTAAGAGATGGAAGGTTAATAGATCAATCCAAACTACTTCCCAATTTGTAGATCAACTCTGCAAGAACATGAAGTGACCCAGAACCTGACTCTTCATGCAATAATGAATGCATGAAACAACCAGTGCCACAAGCCCTTCTTGATGGATAAGTGAATTTTTAAGTTGATGTTGGTTCACTTGTGTTCTGCAGTCCAAATTTTCCAAGTATTATTGTGAAGTGGCCATGTTTAAGAACATGCAAATGCTGTACAATGATTTGCTCATATCTGTAAAACAGACTATAAGCACTCTCAATTTTAGCCAGATCAACTCTAAGAACATCTATTTTATTCTTTGTTTAAATACATAGAAGGCAGCCCTTCAAAACCCAAGCCCGAACTTCACTCCAGCATGAATGTGACGAGAGGTGAATAAGATGGCCTCAGCACATGAAGATGATATACTGCACAGATAAAACCAGTGAAGCTATGCACAAACTCTTACAATAATGCTACTTTGCCCAAGTAACCACTAATTTTAATTAGTGACAAGATCTGACACATTTCTGTCAAATATTAAATGCTTTTTTCAGGGAGTGGGGCAGAGGAATGAGTCCTGGAACTGTGATATAGAAGCACATAGACCAGATAATTATCCAATTATGGAAAGTTCTGGATTATATTTTGAATTTTGATGTGTGAACTTTTCATTACACAGTTTCAAATCCAAAACACAATGCCAATTTCTCTTATTCGAAATTAAATGAAATGTAAGAAAGAAACTGTTTTAGTCCTAAATGCATCCAGACACTAAATCACTTCTGTTGCTATCTTATCAGAAAAATGCTATAAAACAAAGTAAAAAAATGTGTCATAAGTAGTGCAGGCAAAAACCTCCAAATGTTGAAAAGACGTCCCAGTATATTGAACACATTTTTTTCCAGAACGGAACAGTTTATAAGCTTGAGGAATGCAAGGATTTCAGCTTGAAAGACTCATTGTTTAAGCTCTGTTGTAGAACACAGATAAAGGTATTTACAGAGAAAATATCTTCCTATATTGTTTGATGGAGGAAAGCTTATCATGTAATGACAGGATTTCTCCCCAGTTCTCTGGATACAAAGCAGCTTGGTTCAGAGGCATCCATCAAAGGTCATCATTAATCTTTGTAGTAATAAGATCCAGGCTCTTTAAAACAGCTGGCTGTTAGCTGAAAGTCTGCCATCACAGTGAAAACTTTCAACTCTGAAGTTACACGGAAACAGATTAGATTTCTTCTATCAGCAGCGTGGGGAGAAACCGTTAGCAGAGCTCTAAAGCAAGACTGCATAAAGAATTTTGGATAACTTATGAAGAGCTAATAAGCCAGGAGTGTTATGCCATTTTTTAACTTCTCAACTGAAGACTCACTAATTAATTTATGTCCATGCACAAAGCATGACTTATTTTTCAGGAACTGTTTCCTGCTGTTGCAAAGTTAACAGACAAAGCAATTAAATTCTTACAGATATTATCTTCCTGTGCAGAAGCAGCTGATCCCTGTAGTTACTTCAGTTTGTTAAAAGATTTTTTGCTTTTATAATAACGAGCCTCGAACAATTTAGAACAGTGAAACAGAAGCTTTGATTTTGAGTGAAATTTCACCTCTTTGGAGAGGGAACCATAAAGCTTAGTCATTCACTGAAGTTCACAATTCTCTCTCCACAGTGTTCACTGGACAAAAACAAGCATTAACTACAATACCAAAAAGTAAGTGATCAGTATGATCATACACTCACACAGATTTAGAGTTTAATGCAATCATGCCCAACAGCTCACACAGTAATGAGAGGAAATCCATAAGAATCTCCTTAAAAGACAAAACTACTATCAACAGGGGTTTTAGAATTCTAAAAATCCCAGGAGACCAGGTTGCTGTCCAAAGATCCTGAGGCTTCAGAAAAGCAGTAACATCTAAACACACTGACATGTCTTACAATATTTTGCCCTAGATGAACTCTTAAAAGTCTCTTCATTGACAAAGCTCTCTATATTAACATCCCCTGAGATTACAGAATTAATTATGAGTTCTGTCAGAAAAATTACCTACTCAGTTACAAGACAAAACATCAAGCAAATCAATCCTTGCTGACATACACTCTAAAGGAATACAATGTTGGATCCAGCTGCCAGAACACACACCTCCCTGGTACCAGGATTAGGAGAAAAAAAGCTGACACTAAGAACATGGGACACTAGGGACTAGCTCCAGTACAGGGAGCAGTCTTGAGGAGGCTGTTTTTACAAAGTCTCTTTGGAATCCCAGACCAGAGATTCCAAAGTTCCCCAGTACAGAGCACTCAGAAGAATCCTGCAGACTGAAGTACTTACGTTGTTCCAATGAGGCTCCTATAACTGGATTTTATTATAGCATCCCCCAGTAAGCACAGAAAGTCCTTTCACTTCCCACAGGAAAAATTCCAGCAGGAATAAAGAAAAGCAAGCACCACATCTTAGCTGAGAACTGAAGCCTTGTAATAATGCATCATTTAGTCAAAAGACCAACCTTTGCAAGCACCAAAAGACCAACCTTCCCAGAATGCAGTAAACTGTAAGAAACAAAATCTTCTATTTCCTCCCTTTTTGGGGGGTGGGTAAGGTTTTACACACTTGTCTGGGATACAAGATTCTCTAATTTAAGCAATTGTAATGTAAGAGAGCTCTTCCTTCTCCACCAAAAATTAACACCTCACAAAGGAGGACCACATCTAAAGTAGTTGTTCAGTATTATCTACTGTTTATCCTAGCACTGACCTCTCTTGAGAGAAATCACAATTAAAAAGTAAAAATGGTAACAGCTAACATTTAAACTAGAACTATTTCCAGCTTATCCATGATCACTCATTGATCTGTGAGATTACATACTTCAGAAAAAGTCTGTCTATATTCACAATAATATTCAAGAAGTTGCAGAAGATGTTGAAAGAATTCTTGCAAAGTCAGACATGTATAATGAGAAGATAAGACATTAAAAACACTTAAAAAAAAGAGGACAAAATTAAATTATATTCTAAAGTAGTAAACTGACCTGTATTAAGTCATCTTTTTGCATGGTCAGAAGTTGTCTTAAAGCTATATCTTGTTCCTGTATAAAACAAAGAGGTTTCTGCCTTTAAAAAGAATTTCAGACTAAAACAGTTTCAAACCTGATTTTCTTTCCTGTTTTACTTCAGTTTTCAGGAACAAAACCAGCTACAAAATATCATTATTGAAGCAATGAAAGATCTGTCTAGTTTAGAAACATCAAATGTTGTGACTAATGCATGTATCAAGAAAACCAATTTAGACCACTGTAGTTTAACTTCCCCTTTTATATAAAAAAAATCTGTTTAAGGAATTTATTTGAATTAATATATTAATGGTAATATAACTTTCTTTTTAATGCAGTAGGTGCATTTTACTTTCATGTATTACTTGACAGGTAGCAAATATACCACAAAATTACCTGCAGTAATTCTCTAATGTGTTCTAGACCAAGACCATGTAAAAACACTTCCATTTCATGAAAAGTTGAATAGGAGCTGTAAAGATAATTAATGAGATTGAAGTTAGAAACAGTGGAAATTTTAAAAAAAGAAAAAAAAAGACAAAAAAAAGACATCTATAACAAAATGTTACAGAAAAGCCCCCCAGACATAGCACTTGGGAGGAACCTGAAGTTGCACACACCTGATGACAGAAGTACCTTAAAGCATACAATGTAATCTATCAAAAATTTTCAGATGTCTTTTCCATCTAATAAGTTGAAATGAGCCCAAAGGGAGATGACTTTTGTACATAAAGGTAACTTTAAGTCACAAAACATTCCAAATGAACCCTGAAGTTGGGTCACAAAAGCCTGAAAAATGTGGAAGTGGGGTAAAGGAAGACAACTATGTACATAGCATTCATATCAACTGGACTCAGTCCACAACTGGTACCCTTTCTGTTCCAGTTAAGCCAAAAGAGGTTCTCAAGAAAACAGGACTGTGTGTAATTGAAAATAGTGGAAATTACTTCATCAAGAAACTCAGCAGAAGACTACTGTTCAGAAGATAGACTGATGAAGTAGTTAACACTGAACTGTAAGTTCAGAGTTTAACATTTATAAACAAATATAAAATATCAATTTTGATTCCCTACTCTACCAAGGGATATAAAACTGTAAGAGCAAAAATAACAAAGCAGCTTTCAACAATCAGATGAACTGTAATGAAAAGAATGAAACAGAAGAGGAAATCCTAGAAAATCCTGAAAGGACTACTGTATTTGCTACAACAAATCTTTTGCTAAAATCCTGAGTTGTGACATACTTTGCTGTGTCTTGTTGTGGGCCCTGAAATGAAGGTCTGCCCCTTCTTCCCCTCAAAGACTGAAGGAGCAACCTGAGTGCCATTCCATGGCACGTACAGGGCAGCCAGGGAACCACCCCAGCCAGCACGGCTTTAGGAGAGGTGAGTCCTGCTAGACCAACATGACCTCCTTTCTAGAGAAGGTGACCCACCTAGCAGGCGAGGGAAAGGTTGTGGATCTTGTCTGTCTGGACCTCAGTAAAGCTTCCAATACTGTCTTCAAGAGCATTCTCCTGGAGAAGCTGGCAGCCCACTGGGTTAAAAACAGCTGCATGCCAGGCCCAGAGAGTGGTGGCAAATGGAGCTACATCCCTTGGTGGCCACTCACTGGCAGTACTCCCCAGGGCTCCATGGTGGGACCAGTCCTGTTTAATAGTTTACCAATGATGAGGATGAGGGGATTGAGGGTACCCTGAGTAAGCTCACACATGACACCAAGCAGGGTGGGAATGTTGATCTGCTGGAGGGTTACAAGGCTCTGCAGAGGGATCTGGACAGGCTGGATCGATGGGCAATGACCAGTTGTATCAGGTTCAATAAGGCAAAGTGTTGTGTGCTGCCCTTTGGCCATAACAACCCCATGAAGTGCTACAGGCTGGGCGAAGAGCATCTGGAAGGCAGCCCAGCAGAAAAGGACCTTGGGATGCTCACTGACAGCTGAATATAAGCCAACACGTGTCCAGGTGTCCAAGAAGGCCAATAACATCCTGGCTTGGATTAGAAACTGTGTGGCCAGCATGATTAGGGAAGAGATCGTCCCCTGCACCCAGCACTGGTGAGGCCACACCTCAAGTTCTGTGTCCAGTTCTGGGCCCCTCAATGCAAGAAAGAAATTGAGGGGCTGAAGCATCTCCAGAGAAGGGCAGTGGAGGCGGTGAAGGGTCTTGAAAGTGAGTTGTATGGGGAGTGGCTGAGGGAGCTGGGGTTCTTTATCATGGGGAAAAGGAGGCTCAGGGGAGACCTCATCACTCTGCAGCTACCTGAAAGGAGGCTGTAGCCAGGTGGGGGATTGGCCTGCTCTCCCAGGCAACTAGCAACACAACGAGAGCTGACACAAGGGAGGTTCAGGCAGGACATCAGAAGAAATTTCTTCACTGAAAGAGTGGTCAAGCATTGGAACATGCTGCCCAGGGAGCTGGTTGAGTCTCCACCCCTTGAAGAGTTCAAGAAATGACTGGAAATGATGCTTAGTAAAAGGTTCCGTTGACGTGGTAGTGTTTGGTCAAGGGTAGGCCTCTAAGGAGGCGTATTCCAACTTAAATGATGCTAGGATTCTAAAAACAGAATCTGGTGAGGCCTGGAGTACTCTGTCTGAGACTAGCTCACTGTCAGCTGCTACCCTGTGAACTGCCACCAGCCCATCAGCCCAATGCTACAAAACGAGAGCATTCCAAATTCAGCAGGACTGCCTGAGCAGGGGCAATCTGACCAATCAGAACAGACTATGGGCACTGCAAGCTGTCTTTTTAAGACCACGCAGCTCAAGCTGAAGGACATCATAAGTTTGTTGAGGACTTCTCAGCCAAGTTCTTGCACAAAATCACACCAGAAATCTCTGAAGTTGCTGAAGCAGGTGCTGATTTCAGGCATAGAGCACCTTCAAGCCTCAGGGTCAGGGGTACACTCTGCCAAAACTTCCAGAGCTTAACTAGTATTCATACTTAATTTTGACTCTCCAATTGATTTAAGAAAAAAGAAAAGGGCATAGCTCCTGGTGGCAACGAAGCTGAACACAGGCATTCAGTGAAAACATCAAAAATTTAACATCAAACGAAGATCAGAACAGAACAAGTATGCAACAGGGGAGCACACAAATTTAACAGAGCTGAAATGAACTGAAGTGACATCAGAACCTGGCTCTCCTACACTTTACACTAAATGAGAGGTAAGAAAAGTCTAGAGCATGCTCTTTGTTTATATTGCCAAGGAAGTTTGCAATCTTGAAAAATTGATAGTACATAAATATACTTACTGTGGACTCTTGGCAGCACTCCAAACAAGACACATTATGTATCTTATTAAGAACAACTTAATCATTGATATTAACAAATACAATATTTTAGGAATGTTTGTAAGCTAAGATTACACTACAACTGTATTTACCCAACACTGTGGTCAGAGACAGCTGTCAGAAACTTGCAGTTAGCCTCTTGCTCAACTGTTTTATGGTATCTCCCTTGCAAGTGATTTGCAGCCAACGAGAGCAAATTAAATATCTGGAACAGTCAAAATGAATTAATTATTATTAATTCATTATTATATTATTAGTATAAAACTCAAAATGTATAAAAAATACATGAGAGTAAGATTACAATCAATTACTACTTACAGGGAACATGGAACATCTGCCACTTCTCTAAAGCATACATCTATAATGAGAAGTTAAGACTAAACTAAGAGTTTACCAAGAGCATTTCTGAATTAACCAAATTCAGAAACGCTGAATGAAACAAGGATGAACACTGAGCACAGTGGTGTCTATCACATTGTCCAAAAAAACCTCTACAGAATCTGCCACTACAGAAAAAGCCAAACACCAACAAAGTAATTTTTGCTGCTTGTAGACAAGAATTCTATACAATAAGTTCTCTAAAGAACAAAAGGCACATGACTCTTTTAAATGTCTCCACTTCCAGTGCATATATAAACATAAGAATTACCAATCTACAACTGACAATCTAAGTTAAATTTATCTGACAGAGAGGGGCTCTTTTAACTCATTAAAGAAGAAGCCTTCTGGTAGGCATCACTACACACTGGTGATGGATTGCAGACACTGAACTGCCTCTGTGTGGGTTTTGAGATAGTTACAAGAAAATTCAGCAAAAGAAGTAGAACCTCAATACATCTAAAAAAAATGGTGAAACCACTTGCCTAGAATTTAAAACTGGCCTGGCCAGTTTTATACACATATACAGGTATGTGGGTTGATCTTGGCTAGAAAATCCTACTGAGGCTAGCAGGATGGGGGAGAATGAGAATGGTAAAAGTGAGAAAACTTTTCATGGGCTGAGATAATACAATTTGATAAATGAAGGGGAACAAAAAAACAAACCCAAAAGCTAAAAAGCTAAGTGACGCAAAAGCAGGCACTTACCACCTCCCACCAGCAGACCAATGCCCAGCCACTCTCCAATTTTATTGCTGAGCATGATATTAGAGGGCATGGAATACCCTTTGTGTCAGCTGGAGTGAGCAGCCCAGGGCTTTTCCCCTCCAAACCTCTTTCTCACTCTCAGCCTACTTGCAAGAGATGGGGAGCAGAGTGAGAAATAAAGATGGCCTTGATTCTGCACAAACACGGCTCGGCAACAGCTAAAACACTGGTATGTTATCAACCCTGTTTTGGTCACAATCCTAAAACACAACACCAAACAGGCTGTTTGGAAGAAAAATAACTTGCAGCCATATCCAGAATAATACCAAAGAAAAATATTTTCCCTCCCAGAAACAGTTTCTGCAGACAACACCTGTATGACAGCCCCTTGGGTTGTTAACAGCCTGAAAGCAGACCCTGAAGCTGGAAGAAGCTCATGACCATTAAATATCTCAATACCATCTGCAAGACTTTGCAGCAATTGTGTTCAAGTTAGCACTGCAGGTCAAGAGGCAAGAGCCATCTCTCAAGTGTGACAAGCCTGTATTCCCTCCATGTCAGAGAAAGTAATCTCATAAGAGTATATGGCTGCAACCTGCTGAACAACTTGTTTATCCAAGGCAGAAGGCACTTGTAACCCTTCTTAGTAACCTGAGCCTCAGACACAGATTTTTCTAGCTTCCACTGACAGCTCTGGGCATAGCTATTATTTTTGCTCCTGCCTAGACCTTGAATCTGGCAGGGAATAAAAAAAAAAAAAAAAAATAAAAAAAAAAAGGTTAAGAAGCTGTAAATTACAATTCGTAAGAATGAATTATACAATTTTGAAGAGCCCGTGTATAAAGCCACATCATTGATAAAAGCAGCTCAAAATACACAGGAATATGGTCTGACTGATTCCACCGTGTATCATCTGATAACAGCAGGAAACATTTTAGGAGAATACATGCTGTCTTCAGTGGCTCTTTATACTGCTAATCAGCAGCTGCTCTTTCTGATGGCCAATGTACATTACTTCACACCTTCCTCCAGAAAATGGACTTTGAAAATGGCCACTACCAACTACTCTTTTTTTTTGGCTTTAGCCTTTTCACTTCCAAACTCAATGAGAAGCTACACACTACAAATCAGTTTGACATCTGCATTCTCTCAAATACTTTGGCATATAGATTAAAACACATTTTCTACTTCTCATATCAACACTGCAAACATGAATAATCCCTTGTTTTGTATTCTACATCTAAAGTCAATTATTCTGAAAGAATAAAGAAAAAATGTTTCCAAAACACTAAAATATAGCCTTACAAACCCATGAAAAGTTGTGTTATAGCAGAAAATAGTCTGTTATACACATAAATGTAACAGCACTAGTATTCAACTAGCTGCTATTATGTAGTTATTAAAGTAATTTTTCTACAGAAAATTATATGATTAATAAAAACACTTTTGACACAAAATACAGAATTTGCATTTCTAAGAGAAATGAAATACCTCTAAATGTTTATTGATTTTTGCTAGGTCTGCCGCTGTTTTTTCATCCTTGGTCTGTAGATTTTTGTCAGCTCCTAGCTCAAGCAACTTCAAAATTACACTTTTATGTCCATGCTGTACTGCCCATATTAATGCCTGCAAAGAATAACTTTGTTTTACCAATTTTACATATGAAGCAAAACCCAACAGTTTCAATCAATAAAACACAGCCCAATATGGAAACAAAGACAATTAATGCAAGAGGATCTCAAAGCAGTGCTAAAGGAGAAAATTCTGAGAAATATTTCTCAGAAAACTGTACTTTGAAAAAAGGCAGTGGTACACACTTTTAAAATTTCTTATCATTAAATACAACACACAAAATAAATCACTTACTGTATATCCATTTTCATCTTGAGCATTTATGTGTGATCCATGAGCAACAAGAAAAGCAACAACCCGAGGATAGCCTTTTCTAGCTGCGTACATCAGTGCAGTCATTTGTTTCCTGAAAGAAAAGGCGCCAGGTGAAATCAAGTACATCAAAAGGCAAAAAAAAAAAAAAAGTTGGCACACTTCTATTTTCATTTTTAAAAAGTATTTTTAAAATACACTACCTAAGTGATGTGTTCTACATGCAGAACAATTTCAATCCAAAGTTTGGAAACAATGTGCAGTTTCGCTGAGGGCAAGATGTAAATCACAACTGAATACTTAAGAGAAAGAATATTAAAAATAACAACAATGTTCATAAATGTAAAACTCTCTCTAGTAGAATTAGTGTAAGCAAAATATCTGTATGTTTAAGACCCTGCAGGAGGGGCCTTGTGTGTGTGTGTGGAGATTGCTTTTATGCTGGAGTTTTTCAAAGCTCTCCAGTGAGGTTCTTTGGTTCTCTTCCCAGGGTGGTATTTGCATCGCTGCCTGCTTGATCTCTGCTCGGGTAATGGCCATTCTGTTTGGTTTTTTTCCCCCTTGGCTCAGAGAAGCTGCAGGAGCAATATCTGAGCTACCTTGAGGGTGAATTCTGCAGCTGCCTCTCTGAAAATCCAGGGGGCACCATGCTGGCAGAAGTGGAGCAGAGCCACCCTGCTCCAGCCCAAGCCGCTGCTGACTGCAGGGAGTTAGGAGAGGATGCAGGGAGTGGCTCCAGCCCGGCTGTTCCACCTGCAGTGCCCACTCTGCGGTGCCTCGCCATGGGGAAGCTCTGTCTGCTGCTGCAACAGCTCTGTGAGGCTCCTGCCTTCCAGGGAGGGCTCTCACACCATCTTGGCACTCTGTCCTACAAAGCCTGAAACTCTCCTACCAGGCTCACTTTGGGAACAGTTTCCACCATTTTGAGTCTCTCTTGTTGCAGTGGAGTATGAGGTCTAGCAGTTATTTATTTTTTTTCCCCGTGCCTTTTGGCATTCTGTTTCTTAATAAACCACTGTTTTTTCTCTTTCACCTATTATTATTCATTTCTTATTGGTGGGAAGGGATTGGTGGAATACTTAAATGAGATTATTCATTCCAAAGTGCTCTCCTTTGAAGTGTCTCAAACCAAGACATGATCTTACACTTCTAGAGACTCTTACAAGATGAAGCCATTAAGAAATATTGCTCAAAAGCTTCTGTTTGCAAAGTACCTTTCCAGATGCCTGACACATTCTTTGGTGGAATAATACTGCAGAATTAAGGAAAAAAAAAAAAGGCAGTATTGCAGGAAAAAGATTATAGAGTTTCTGGTGGTTACTAAGTAATACGATTAAAGGTAAATTATTTTATTACTGTAGCTTAATTAAAATATATTGTATTTTAAAAAGCAATAGTTTTTAATGAAAAATATTATGTATTGCTTGTAATGTATAGCTCCATGTCAAAAACCTGCTTTCTAAAGATTATTCTATTGCGCTAGGATATATGTGATGGGAGGACTGTTCCTTCCAATACTGGGTTTCTTAATAAGTTCATAAGCCACTAGAGGGATCCACAAATTCATGTCTTAAAGCAACTGCCTTAAAATTTCTGCCTCCTACCAGAGAATACTGCTAGAACTAAGGCTTTGCACATCTTTCTTTGGTTTTGATCATTCACACAAGGATAATGTTTTGTCTTACGCAAGCACAGTTAAAATTGTACTGAATGTAATCCAGTAACGTTATAAATTTGAAACAATCTTATGCTAGGGGAAAAAGGTCAATCACACAGATAAGCAAAATGAAAGGTAACCAGACCTTCAAGACATACAGTCAACAACATAAAGTTACTTGGTAATGAAGCAAAAAGACTTGCATCAGTCTAGAAAAGAAAATAAGATTTCCTATTTCTTTCTATTTTCTATTTTTTATTTTCTAGAACTAGTCTCTAACTTAGCTCATCAACATTACAAAAGCAGAAGTTCTGACTATATATGAGGAGACATTTCACCATGGAGCACAGCCAATCAGTGGAAGTGGCTGCTCAGAGAAATGTTTTACTCTCCAGTCTCACTGAGCAGATGGCAACCTAGCCCAATTTTACAGCAGACACAGCTTTAAAGAAGTTGGACTAGAAACCTCCTGAAATCCCTTCTGACATGAATTATCCTATGGAGAGTACTATAAAAATAGAGAAAGACTATAATCTCCATCTTCAACTTAATAACTGATATCCATATATCTTGCTATCTCTATAGATCCCTATAGAGCTGTCTATACAGAGACATGTACAGAAATGTATATTTTAAAGAATGAGCAGAATTTGATGATAACCTAATAATTTGTAGCAACAAAATGCAAACTTGTTTGCTCAACATGGACACTCACTCCCATGCCTTTCTTTTCAGTGGTAGGTAGCCTTTGACTAACTTGCCATGCCACCTTTGAAGTATTTACTACTTACATTTGACTGCAAAATCACTCCAATCACACCTGATTTCATTTTCATTTCTCTCACTCTCAACCTTTTTTTTTTTAAATTTTGATACTACATCACAACTCTCTTCTGCTTTTTCAAAGGAAAAAAAAACTAAACAAAAGCCCTGAGGCTACAGAATAGTCTTTTCTGCAAAGAATTTGATGCAGTTACAGCTGTATAGTACTGCAGGCATGATGCCAGAAGTCAACACAAAAACTCAATGACACTAAAGCCACTAAAAGAACTGCTCAATTCGCAGGTAAAACTCAATAAATACAACATTTAAAAGGTCCATCAACACAATAGTGCAATTAGTACTGCAAGCATTCCATTTTAATGCTTGAGTTTTAATTTCAAAGGGTACAAGCTGTTTCAGGATAGAAATACATGCGTTGCTGCACAGATTTGCACCTCTAGGTGCTAAAGGGTGCTGTGAGCCACCCCATGAAAGCAGCATCCATTTAAGTGTACGGCCACAGGAGGGAGACAAGAGCACTGGGGAAAACAAACCTTGTTTTCCTAACCCTGCAACAAACCTCCACAACCACAACAGCAAGCTTTAACAGGGCAAATCCAATGTTTCCTGCTTAAGTTGAAGAGAAACTAAACATATTGGTACATCTTGGTGTAATCTAAAAATGTTCATAGAGAGTGTAGTGGTAAGTATCTAGACAGACCTTAAGAATCCTTTCATAATTTTGAGGAACTGCTGTGTTTCAGCAGTCTGGCTTGCAGGTGACCTTCTTGTCCAAACACCCATTACATCCTTTTGTATGGTACAATTTGCCACATGACATTTCTCCATATTGAATATGATACTCAAGTCATAGTCAGTAAATAAATAAAATCTTAAAGGCATATAAGCAATTTATTACTTAAGCACTACGTTTGCCTCCAGTTTTGCAGCACCTATATAAAAAGCAGGGTCTTATGAAATGAAGAGAGATTTTTGTTTGTTTATCTTCAGAGTCACAGAAAATTCTGAGTTGGAAGGGACCCACAAGGATTACAGAGTCCAGCTCCTGGCCCAGATATGACAACCCCAAGAATTACACCACCTGGTTGAGAGCATTGTCCAAATGCTTCTTGAGCTCTGTCAAACTTGGTGCTATAACCATTTTCCTAGGACCCTGTTCCCATGCCCAACTACCCTCTGGCAAAAGAACCTTTTCCTCATATCCAATGCAAACATCCTCTAACACAGCTGCACACTCTAAGTCTCCCTGTTTTGATATTAAGACTGGAGAAAAAGACAAAAAATTAAGCTTTTTTAGTTTTTAGGGCTTTTTTAGTTTTTAGGGCCATCTCAAACTTTGTATGTGACCTGTACCCATAGATACAAGTAGAAGTTCCTAAAGGCTCATTTTACCTTGTGGAAAAAATGGGGCAAAATTTATATCATAAGAAAACAAGCTGAACAGACCTACTGTCCTGAAGCTGTCTATCGTGGATAATCAAGAGCCATAACAGAACTGGTAATAAAGTTTTGCCACCTAGATGGCAAGCATCTGACTCAAAAATGTATTGAATAGCTGTCACTAAACTGGATCTGTGGTGCAGAATTCACTGCTCTTGACAAATAAACATGCTTGTGTTTGGGATCACAATCTCAAGCATGACAAACTTCACCTTCTTGGAAAATTTCGTAAGAGGAAGGAGAGGAGATGTCTCCTATTTACACACAGGTTTCTTTCCACTGGGGAGACATCTATAAAAATTCAGTATTTCAAGTTAGTAATCTTGAGTTTTAACTAAAGCCTCGTAACTAGATACATCTTAATTAACTAGACCAGTGTATCAATAATATTAGAAAAATACAGCAGGTAGAAAACAATTTAACCCAGAGTTTAGTCTCAAATCTTTTCTTATTGAGATCCCCAAGCAAAGAAATGATGCTGCAAGACACTATTTTAGTCTATTGATCTGTAAACTGAACAATTCTTCAGATAAACAGGAAGCATCTTCAGAAGCTTTTGGAGTCAGTTTCCCCACTCCACTGCTACACATTAAGCCTGAAACTGAGAAATTAAGTGGCAACAGTGTGTTCACAGTAACAGAAGATAATCTATTTGCCCATTTTCTGGCTTAGTGGGATTTAGTGATGAAGTGAGAAATCCTATATAATAAGTAATATTGGAAGAACATATTCTAGTGTAACTTTAGGAAAGCACTGCAGATTAAAAAGCACTACTTAAAGATTTCCAAGCCTTACAAAAGAATAAAGTATATAATTTACATTCTGGAGCAAGAGGAAGGTGAATGACATGAGATGAGCAAAACAAATTTCTCAAGGTAGCACTCACTTAAATGAAGCATTCAGGCCATAGTACTCTACAGTGGCTATTCAGAGCAGGCTTTACAAGGCCTTCATGCCTCACCTAGCCATTACTCTGCTTGTCTGACTTTCAAAACACTTCAGCTAGCACTTATGCTTTGATACACTGCATTCTCATCAACAATAGTGTTTTTACAGCCACCAGTACTGAATTATCAAAAATATCCTAAGTTACGCTACTGAATACTTTCTGCCCAGAACCATATTCCCTTGCAAAGAAACCATCTACCTACCCATTTCTAAACTCACCTCCTTTCTTTGCACTTTAAAAATCATGTGTCTTTCCCCCTAGTCCTTTCCCACTCCACACACATTTCATAAATTAGACCCACTCCCTCCAAGTTTCTATGTATCACCTCCAGATGTCATTAAATAAAAGAGCCTTCTGGTTGTCCTCATGGAGCAAAAGAGCAAGGATAAACATGAAACCCTGCTTACATGAAGGTTAAGTATTCTGCTTTGCATTCACACACACTCCAGGGGCTGGTGGACTAAAGAGAAGCTTCCCAGAATCATTGTGGTTCTTACATGCTAAGAAAGCCATGAGACTATAGAACCTTAGTTCTTCCCCTGCTGTAAGCAGATCACACAGCAAGTACCTTGACAATAATCTCAACTCACTGACAGTTCTTGGTCACTCCCACAGAGCATCCTGCTTGCCCTAAGGAAATGGTGGAATGGGACTGCAGTGCCACCGAGAGGGGCTGTTTGATCCCTTATCATCACACAAGGAGTTTATTGTGTTTCATTCTCATTTCTGAGCACAGAGCAAGAAGTCCATGAGAAACAGCAGCTGTTGTCTGAGCAGACTCAATGATGGAGTGGCATGCACATATGTCGAATACTGGAAAAGCATAAAGGCAGCTCAAAGGTTTGAGACTACAAGGTCTGGATTTTTCAAGCCTCTGCTTTTATTTAGCACAAATATTGATTTTTTGACATTTCTGATTGTCACTTAATTTATCTTTTCATTTGAGAAAGATACTACTGCAAAACTGAAAAAGCCACAACCATATCTGCTGGATGCATGAATAGGTCATGTTAGCCACAAGGTGTAAGGACACAAAAAGACAGTAAATAAATATTTGTATATAAAGATCAACCATACCAAACATACCCTAAGTTTATAAATAAAATTTAAAAATTAGAATTGCTACCTCTTGTGTCAGCTTTCACACTCTCTTCCCCCAAAGTTTAGTAAAAGGCCTGTCCAAATGCAAACTTGCAGCTCTGCACTCTTGCTTCCATTTCCAACACCCAAGACAAAGTTAACAATGCAAAGACTTCTCCTATTTTTTAAAGCAGGATGTTTATTCTAACACCCAGGTATCTGACAACAACAACATGTAATTATTTCAGAGTATCTAGCTTTCTCTTCTCTCATGAAGAATTTCTAGTCTCTCTGGTAAGAATAAAAGAACAGCATTTAAATTTGGTACCAGACATCAGTTTTACTTCAGAACTCTGTTTCCTCCTTGTCTATCAGTACTTGCTCATAGTGAGGTTCAGGGCCTTGAGTAATTGAATTCTACTAAGGAAAACCAAAGGCCTTCAATTCTATTCTTTTTAGAGAGCTACTCAGTCTATATATCCCAGATAATGTGATGAAAAAGGTGTGGCACAAAGAAATGTACCACACTGTTGAAAACTAGGTGACCTAAGCAGTATTTTTTTAGCAGAGGTTAAACAGTTTATCCTGGGGTCAGTCCAGAATTTATTTCTTTTTGATGTAAAATGAAATCTTTCATCAGACTGTAAAACTACAGAAATCTCACAATGCATTGCTTCAAACCAGTGAGACAGAAAGTTGTAATTGAAGAAGGACACTATTATTTGTTTCTACAAGGAGCTTAACCTCTTTAATCCAAATTATTCCAGATTGCAGTGGAATAAATGTATTTTATTTACGGAATTTTGTTTTCCACAGGAAGCACTCTGTGAAAAGCATACAGCCAGATATCCACAAAAAAGTTCAAAAGTAGGATATAAACTTAAAGAATGAATTGATTTGACTTCCATCCCTATGCTGAAGAAGCAATATGACTTAGGAAAGGCAGAGGACATATTTCTTGCCCTTATACTTCAGTCAAGTGACTAATTAAGATTAATTTTTATTTTGTTCAGCTGAAGAATATACTTAAAATTTGATAAAGCTGATCACAGTCTTATTTACTCAAATTAACAACTGTACTAATCTTTTCTTATACAAACAGCAGTGAAATTACAAGTATGTACACTTCATCTTAACTACCACCAAGAGCGATGTCTATAAACATGTGTCTGTATAATAATAAATTCTGTACTGTATTCACAGATGTGGGGCTTTCAATACCTGCAAGCGAGGTTGGGGTCAGCATTCCTCGATAAAAGCAGCTCTACAGTGTTCAAGATGTTCTCCTCTGAAGCTTGTGCAGTACATGCTGCCATCAACACCGTGTATTTATCTGTTTGGAAATTTGCAGTTAGGGAATTACATATGTAAATGTAAATACCATGCTAATCCTGAAGCTCCTTTAAAAGTCTTTCAATTTGCTAGAGTTGCTACTGAGACTTTGATACTCTATGGTACTTGGAAAAGGCTAACAATCTTGTTTTCCTGTCTGTAAAAATCACTGGAATGATCAGGTAAGAAAAAGGCACCTGAGGAGATACTCAGAAACATGAGAGTGAATCACAGTAGTAAAGCATTTATTCCTACTGAAGTTTAAAATAGCTTGAAAGTACCCCAAAGCTACAATTAGAGCTTGACTATAGATGCTTATTTCTCAAAATACATTCCACACCAGTAGTTACTCCCTGTTCCTCCTCTCCAGTAAATGAGAGTAACACCTGCAATGGATAGAAAAAGGTACACAAAATGTATTATGAACACACAGTGACACCAATTTTGGTGAGAACAGCGGCCCATACAAAAGCCATTGAAGCAAATGGGCTTCATGACAGGTCTTAAGGAGGAAGAATTAAGTTTATTAACTTCCTATGGTCCAGTTGTGGCAGGAAAAGTATTACAAGTATTGGCTTAGATGTGGATTTTAAGAGCATCTACACAGTCCATAGGAATAGCAGCACATTTACTTGTCCAGCTCTGACATCAGCTGGGTGTTACATACCCCCTTGGCTCACAAATCCAAACTGTACAACTGCAGTTTGCCCACAGAACACAGGAGACCTCCTTTCCCATGATTACCATGGTTTCCATCTGGGATACACAGCACCTTAGCTGGTGCTATGTGTTAGCTGGCCCCAGTGTCACCTACAACACTGCCATTGAGTAACTGCCCATTTTATTTATTGCACAAACTTGGTCACAAGTTCCAACATGCCTTCACCCATTAAAAAAGTGTATTAGCTGCACCTATATTAGCTGCATACCCCATCAAGTGTTACAACATATTTTCTAATTTTCTTCTAGAAATTTTAAGACTGTGTATAATTAACATCTTCATTCTTCAATGAGGTCAGATTTCATTATATTTAGACATGAAAAGTTTGTTATGTACATTACCCCCAGTGTTCTTACCACCTCTTGTCCTCCACTTCTACAACTTAGTTCTACATTTAAATTAACTTGTTTTTTTAATATACTATATTTTAATTTTCAATTGTCTCATGTGGAAATTACTTTATATGCTGATAATTTTTTACTCAAAATGTTTAACCTGATTATCAACTACAACATGAATGGAAAGATGGCAGGACTTTAAATAAAGCACTGCTAGTCTGAGAATGGTATTTGGGAGGGACCTGCAGTTGTATTTGTATTCATTATCTCAGGCAGTGATAAAGTGGAAAATTCATTTCTGTCAGCCTACCTATAGCTCATACATGTGAGCAAGAGATGAAAGGGAAGGAACACCTTGGAATTCTTAGATTTCTCTTTTACAGAGAATAACTGTTAAAGACTGCAAAAATATAAGTTTATGTTCAGACTAGATGAAAACTCTAGTAATTCTGGAGTCATTTCTGGTGAAATTATTCCTCAAGGATGCGAGATTTTGAACCCATCACACAGTGAATGATATATTAGTTCTTGTGGACTACCAAAAAGGGTAAAATTAAGTAACTAGCTAGAGAGACTGACTGAAGAGTGACTCAAGGTGATTAACGGTATAGCTGTTTATCAGGATTACAGGTGTTAAAGGGTTATTGCATAGGATCACTTGTATGATTGCCTGCTGAAGTAAAAAATAGCAGGAGGGCTGGTGATACCCAGTACCCCTTAGGAGAGCACAGCTCTACTGAACATCCATGACCTGACCCAAATCAATGACTGACAAGATTGCTCCTGGCTCTACTTTGCTGCCCATATGCCCTAGGTTAGAGTTTCCCTACACAGTCTAACAGGGAAACAAACCAAGAAATATGATCCTAGCGAGGTGCCACTTTGGGCAAAGACAGTTGATCACACACATGAAAAAATGCCATGCTTTTGGTTACCTGGTCAGCCTGAACTATTGCCCATAGCAGTTTCTGCCCCATTTATAGCTTTCTATAGCCATAAAAAAGTAACAGGTACGAGCTGTAGGCAGACACAGAAGTTCTGAAAATGGCTACAAGGACAGTGATTAGAAGAAGGCATGATTGTTTTTGGTGCAGGCAATCTAATCTCATATTCTGATCAACTGCTAAGAGGTTAGAGAAAATTTTCAGAACCAGATTTGTACCATCTGCATTTCACTCTACTACTACTGCGACTACTGTCAAGTTACTGGAAAATATGATTACTGCTCTTACATACTTGGCAGTACTGTGGGATAAATATTCCAGTGCAATGGAAGAGATTGAAAATAACCACAATTTAAGTCAAAAAGGAGTTATTAATATGCCAATAAAAGTGACAGAGGAATTGATATTACTTAAAAGCTACACCGAACTCTTGCAGATAAAGGTGATTTAGCAACACAATGAAGAACAGTTTTCTTAATAGAAAAATTGCACTCTAGTTTTAGAAAGGCCCACATTAATTTCCCATGAATTGGAAAGCTATTCATGTTGTTTGAGATGCTATCTGGTTTCTGCACATACACAGTTCAGAACAGGATCAAACACAGTAAGTTTTACCTGTACAACTTTATACTACAATTTTTGAGCAGGTACTTCCAAACACTTTTTAAAAAAGTACTTGGGATTTGGGAGGTGTGGGAGAAAGTGGAATTGAGAGAGAAAGAACAAGAAAACACAGCAAGTGATTCCAGATCAATTCCAAGAACACAATTTTAACTTCAAAACTACTGCTTTTCCTTCAAAACTGTGAAAGGTCGAGTGGGTCTCAGTTCTGCTGTGAGCTTTAGATTTTTTTTCCCTACACATATAAACAAGAGAATAAGGATAAGGACAATGTCTGGTACTGAGCATTACCAGCCAGTATTCTTCATTCCCATCTTACCTATTTCAAAACATGCATTAGCACCTCTGTCCAGAAGAAGACGCACCACTGCAAAGTTAGCCACGCTGGCTGCACACATCAGGGGAGTCCATCCAAACTGAAAGCTGGTTTCTATGCTGATACCTGTCAAAATTGAAGAAATTACAATCATCAAACTGCATCACTACAAACATGATTTTTATAAAACTTACTCTCAATATCTATCACTATAAAGGTTACACCACGTTTGCATTTAGTACAAGGAAGAGAAATCTCTTATGGCATTTTCTTTTTTATAATACATCTTTACTTACCTAGTTCTCAATCCAAGGAGTTAAGTACCACAGAAAGACTACACTAAAAACCTCAAACATTTAGCTGCAAAAGTAATTTCATATAAACACACAGAATCTGTTTTCTCTACCTCTACTTTCTTCAATCAAAATGAAATAATCTGACTCTTGCCAAGGCAGAAAGACTGCTGTGGAAGCAAACTGCTTGTCAGGGAATTAGGATCACAATATCTAGGCTTTCCTGCTTCACAACTCCTTTTATTCTCTGTCCTAAAAGACACTTAGCTAGCAGATTTATGTTCAGTATGAACAAAATATTATCTAATAAAAAGAGAAAATAGGAGACCCTGCAAGGTTCAAACACAATCACTAGAATTATTTGTTACTCTCTGTATCAGCCAGAATGGCTAAAATGGCCAGAAGCATGCCTGTCAGCCTGCCCAAATGCACTGAGAACCAAGCACCACACTGACAGACTCATCTGACAACTTTCTATTAAATACCTGCATGCATTTTTCAATCTTCCAACAAATATTACCTCCTTTAGAAAAGCTTCCATCAGTTGGTTCTATATTACTCCTACAGTGGCCATGGATAATCAAAAATACATCTCTGGGAAAAAACACTCCAAAAAAACCCCTCAAATCTATCCTAAGAAATTTGTGACAGTTAAGCTACATGCATACTTTTTCATGCAAAATGTGTATTTTCCCTGTCATGGTACTATATCAAAAATGAGTTCAGTGTAGCAACATAAAATCATTAAAGCTGAGGGACTAACAGGTCATTGCTCTTGGATTGATTCCTTAATTTCTTAAGATCACTGGAATTGCAGAATCAATAAAGAGGTAGCAATCCAATGAAAGCCATGTGTTGAAGCACTGTAACACCTGCAAGTCACAGAATTTACAATCAAATCTCCTTACAGCCTACACATACTAGCTGCATACTAGCACACTGGCCTATGTGCATTGTACAAAACTTTTCATTGAAGCCCACAGAAGTTCTACAAGGGGAGCCAGCAAATGTTCCTTAGCAGTCAGAGCAGTACTTCCTTGTAAGTCACTTCAAAAATTCAGCAAGTCTGATATTGAACAACCTACTGAAGTAATACTAGTAAGAAAAAAAATACCCAAAAACTGTCACCCTGTCAGTCTTTAGGTCTCTTTTCCTTGTGAGAAGAAAAGCAGTCCCATCTAGAGCTTGTTACTTTAATACACATCAAAACAACACTAACTACTGACTTGGCAGTTATGCATAGGCTTATTAAAACACTTGAGAAAGCATTTTCCTCTATGCTTTTCATCCATAGACAGCAGCCAGTATCTGCTATGATGCTGGTGCTTTTTCCAACTTCTAGAAGTAGAACAATCTATTTGGCAGTATGTTGTTTGTCCTGCATAGTCTCCTACCATCTTAGTAGTGACTGTCTTGAAGTACCACTCAGGGGTACTGATGATCCCAATGCAAACAAGCTGTAATCCCAGAGGAAGACAAAGAAAAGACAGCTGAAACAGGAACAGTCATGTGGCTCCTTGGCTGTGTGGTTATAGGAGCTGACTGAACCAGAAATGTTTCACCTTGATGACTATTCAAATAGGCTATTAATCTCATTGCATGAGCTGTTATTGAAGTAAGCAGTGTTAGTTCAGCATTTAAAATGATCCTTGAGATTTTCTCAAGAGAACAGTGAAGCCCAGAAAAAACTTTTTAGTGAAAAATCAGGCCAGATCCAACAGCCAGGAAGAAGAGAGGCTGCTGCACTCCAGAACTGCAGGTCCAACCCATATCAATGCTGAGTGTGTGCTCCCAGCAGGGGCACACACACACTCCTGGTCACAGGGATCAACACAGACAAACAGAGCACTCTTACAAACACAGCAGCAGCGGGATCAGCGTGTCACCCATCCTCTCCAGCTGCTGGCAGCACACACACACGGCATTATTTGGACTCCCCCACCTGCCATTATCCGTGCTCCTCTGTAGGTATGAGCAGAGGAGCTTTTCAGTTACATGGCCCCACAAATTACAGCTAGGAGACAAACCAGATGCAACATTCTTCTTTACAATTTGAGTTACAGAAAAATAGCTTCCTGTTTAAGCAGTAAGGAGGATAAACACATTCTGGCCACAGACAAACTCTATAGCAGAAATCAAGTAAAGAATATGAATAACAGTGAAGCAAAAGAACAGCAAAGTAAGAAAATTTTTTTGGTGATTATTACTGTTTCTCCCATAACCCTTTCAGATACTTTCTTGACTGTGGCTAATAATAGCTATAGTAGAAAGGCTGTTTTTAAAGAGAAAGATGTAATTCTGCTAAATAATTCCATTCAGTTAAAGAACAGCTCTCAGTGTTGAAATCCATTCACACTCAGACATCATTGAAAGTTCTAAAATGCTTCTCTAAGACTTTTCTCTAGTAGAAGTATTAAGTCTGTCTGCACTTAGGTCTGCTCCCATGTGACCTTAAAGCTGAGTCCTCTTAGAGCAGCTGATGTGTCCCTTTGCTGGGCCAGCTATGGTGGTCACCTGACTCAGGGTTCAGAGTCCTAAACTAGCTGAAAAATTATTCTCACACACTGGGCACCCTCCCATTCCTGTTGTTTACTACTACTTATAATTCCCTGAACTGGCTCACAAAATATCAGATGAGCTCAGCACCCATTCAAAGATTTAAGTGGAACAAACTGCTGAAGGAAAACGGAGGATTTGACTGTAGTTGTATCTTTAATCAGCCTAAATTGTCATGAGTTGCAACTTCTAATTCCATTTTAGGAAATGGAACACATGGTGTTAAGCATTTTACTTCTGAAGCAAACCAAAATGTCCAAATCATCTTTGAAGGTGCTACTTGCTTGCATTACTTTTTGCAACACGTACTTCAGAAACTTTTTCCTAAGTTGCCATTTAACAGAAGTGCTAAGGAAAAACATTGTGCTTGTTCATCCCCTAAAGAAGCTCTGTAAAACTGCTGCAGCATCAAAAATACTAAGGCAACATCTAACCAAGCCAGAAAACAACACAGTCTCACTCTACCTGAAGGAATAGCTCCAACTCTTGCTAGGAAATCCACTTCCAACAAAATCCTTGAGTTTGGCTGACTGCAGGCAGTGAGCCTCCTACAAGCTCCTCTATACTAAAGGCATTGCTGGTGGCAAAGGTTTAATCTGAGCACAGATCCCCAGACTGGCAATGTCACCTTTCTCAGGAAGACCCCCACAATAGGCACTGTGTTGCACTGCAGAACAGCACTGGATGGGTCAGAATGTACTGCTGGGCCCATTTTGAGGAAATTACATATTCCTTTATAATACTGCCTTGTTGTTTCAGGAGACAGGAAACAGGACTGCATGAATCCTAGGCCTGAACCTGTGCTCTTACAGAAACCTGTTATCATCTTCCAACAGCACAGAACTATCCACTGTGTAGCAGGCATCAGCACAGAAAGTGAACTACTGCTGTTTGACTGCAATACAACAATTTAAAATGGATGGTGGAGCAAAACAAATAAGCAATCTGAGGCACTAGAACTTTACTCATAAATAAGAATATATTTTCTAAAAGCAAGACAGATGTATTTCATGCTTGTCCTGCACTTCATGTGTTTCAGTCCGTGCAGTAGTTTTGCTTAATTTAAAAAAAAACATTCCCCCATTGTGGTGAGAAATAGTTGGCTTCTAAAAGGGCAAATAATGTCATTGTTTCAAAATTCATAAAAGACCATTGCTAACCAAGAAACTACTTTCTTCCCTAAGACAAATTTTCCTCAGAGAACAAACTCTTGGTTACTATATTCTCCTTGCTTGCTGAAGCAGAACTTCCTGACAATTATCACTAGGCAGGTCAACTCAGCTATGCAGTTTCTGATTGCCCTGGATGCTTGAATAAGTGATCCAATCTTCCTAACACTGATTAACAAACACATTAAAGACAAATGCTGAGTAACAGAACACGGAAAAAGGCTTCCAGTGTTAAAACAGACTACTTTTTAGTGACAAATGCCACAAAAAGCCTGTTAGACCTTTCAGAATCACAGAATCTTTGTTCAGCTGATGTTGCCAGGACAGCAGTTATACATAGGGCACATACCAGACACTTACCAGTCCTTTGAAGGAGAGAAAAATAAAGAGGAAAAGGAATTTCCAAACTGGGAAAACATGAAAATAAAAAAGCTTGGCCTCCCCTTCTTACCCCATGCTGTACAACTTTCAACACCAATGACCACCCACTGAATTTTCCCCTCAATTTAAACCACCTCTAATTCAGAGCTTCTAATTGCTATTTGCATGTTAAAGATGCATCTGAAAACAAAGAAACATGTTATTTCATAGTTCAAACATAGTTTTCTTAATTTTCAGGTCTCCTGATTGACAAAAGAAACATAAATTAAAAGGAATGTGCTGGAATACTTAATCTGAGCCACTGAAAAAGTAATTTAATCTTTCAAAATAATGTGTTGAGTGCATGTAGGAACATGTGAATGTTTCCAGTAAAGGATATAAAGTCTTTTTTTAAATGAGAATTGAAATTTTTACTGAGTTCAAGAAAAAATATTCAACTTTGTAAGTGACTTTTCCTCACCCGAATTTAAAAGTTCTTCAATCAGTGACGCATCACCACGAAACAGAGCCTTCTTTAACGCCTCATTCTTGTCTGCCTGCAACATTTCATCCAACTGCTAGGCAAACAAAGAAAAATTAAGTCAAAATCTGCAGACTGTTTCAAGGCAAAAACAATACAGCTTGGCTTCAGCATAAAAGTACTAATGATCTCTGACAGGACATAGCACAGAAGAAGAGGGGAAAAAGCATCATGTAACTTTTGTTCTTTCATCTCCATAGATCTGGCTGTACTATAAAGCCTAAGTTTTAAAATCAATTTTGCCAAGAGGTCCCATTCTCTGAAAATGGAAATACCTTCTTTCTCAACAGACCTGCTATCGTGCTGCTCTCAATTTTACTTACCACAATCTGATTTAAATTAAGATTCTTTTTCATCTTATGACACTAGAAAAAAATTGCAATGCATTTATATACCTTTTTTTTGGTACATTTCACATATTGTGAAGTACAACATTAAAAAATACAACTAACAGATATGAAAGTTTGAGTTTGAGTCAGGGGACCTCAGTGAATAACTGGCTGGCCTAACAGCCAAGTCTACTGCTGCGAAGGGCTACAGTTCCTCTGTCATCCTAATTCTGTGGTGACAGAGGCATTTGTAGTGCTGCATCATAAACATTCTAGCTGAAAAAAGCACTGACCAAAAGACCAGTCTATGCATCAGACAGTTACCTAATTTAAGTTGTTTTGAAAAGCATCATAGATTTGTTTTCTATTAAAGCTGCAGATGCAGCTGAAGATATATAGCTGCTGGAGCTATATCACGTATACAAAACATTTACATACACGGGTAAGCAGAGGACTGATTATTCACTAGTTTCTTTAGAAACAGAAGTGGGTATGAAATGAAGTTATCTTTTATCATAAGTTTTTAACTCCCAATTTATAACTTAAAAATATTCAAATTTCACAGCACATTGTAGCCCATCTTTCCAATAACTTTTGTAAAAACTAACAAGTGTCTAGAGAATCATAGGTGAGAAACAGTCAACAGAACAATTAAGCCCTTTTTTTATTTTACTCAGGCAACAATTTTCAAACAACACACATCTCTGGATAGGAACATCTATCTAAAGGTCAAGTCCTCTTAAACACTGGCTGTAACCTTTAGCCTAAGACCTCAAGAATTCAGTTACACTTCCATTTTTCAATTCTGGTCATGAGACAAACCCACGCTTAAAAACTCTCACAGATGATGATGGTTTCTCTCCTCTACCTCACACTGATGATAGATTACACCTGTTACATGCAATAAAACTACTGAAATCTTCAAGCTAGCCAGAAACAGTCTCAAGAGATTTAAGATATAAAACAGCTTTACAGGCCCTCGGCCATTTTCAAATTTACTCTCATGCTGAAATATGATTAGGACTAGGGTCTGCTACTTAGAAAGAGCTTTCAAATAAACATTAAGGGTCTTGGTAATAAGACAAACCCCTACAGTCCAGGTTTCATTAGTGGATTGAGGGTACACTGGTAGGAAACAGCCTGAGAGGAAGCACCAGCCTCACCCTCCCGGGCGTCCCGCTCCCCTCACGGTTCCAAGCCGAGGCCGCCCCCCACCCCGAACCAGCCCAGTCACGGCTCCCCAGGCGCAGGGAGGCTCAGCCCCACCTGCGGCTCCTGCCGCACGACGCCAATGTCCCAGTCGCCGTCATCGCTGTCGCTGTCCTCGTCGCCGCCCGCCACGACGCGGACCGAGCACATCACGGCGGCCATGCCGGCCCTTCCCGCGCCTCGCCGCGCCTCAGCGCAGCGGGGCACGAGGCCGAGGCGGCCGCGCTCCCGCGCTCCGCCCCCGCCCCGCCCCGCCCCGCGGGCCTGAGGGCAGCGCGGCGGGCGGAGCCGGACCTGGGGACGGGCGGGAGCCGTGCCCGGGGCGGGAAGGGCAGCGCCGCTCCGCGCCTGTGCACGGCCCCGGGTACAAGGAATCAGTGACAGTGGTGCTGGTAGCGCCTGGGGTTGTGACGCGGCGCACACGCGGCTCCTCTGCTTTGTGGATGCTGGCAGACGCAGCGGAGCCACGTGTGAAGTTGTGTCTTTAGATCTGTGGCTGATCTGTATATGTGGATTCAAGGTAAAAGATACGGCTTCCCCTCTTTAATTGCTGGTGCCATTGACACGCTCCGTCCAGCCGCCTCACCTTGCAGCAGGCTGTGAGGTCACCTGTGTGTGTGTGTCACGCAGCGTCAGAGAGCCCGAGCCTGCGGGGGGACACTCGCGTGGGAACGCTGAGCAGCAGCTGCGAGTAATGAGGCAGACTTTGGACCTCTAGCCTGGCTACCTAGGGCATTGCTTTCAGCTCCAGAGCTGTGGTTAGAGCTCTTTCTAATGAGCGATTATAATGTCTCATTCATCACAAGGTTCCTGTGAAAGTCTATGAAGAACAAACGAGGAATGACGATGAGCATTTCATGCACCGGCATCATTGCTCCTTGAGCTCATCTCAGACTTTGCCCCAGGTTGAAATGAAATTAGGTATCCACTGACAGAAGAGGAGTTTGGTCTTGGAGAAGAGTACAAAATGATAAGTGTAGTCCTTGTGCCCATAACACTGTAAAGGTGTAATTAAAATATGTTGCCCTCATCTTGATCAGAAGGTGTCTGTGAAATTTTTCCTATTTATTTTATTTTTTGTTTAACTTTTGTTTCTTAATGCAATGCAATGTGTAAGGGAACTTCTATGTTGGAATTTGCAGGTTAGCTAGAGTCATGCTTAGAATATACCAAGTGCTATAAAAATTGCACATATTATAAAAGAAGCCTGCATGGTCTGCATATTTCAATAGTGCTCACTTGACATTATTAATAGCTGCATTTTCTGGATTTTATTTGCTTGTCTGTTAAATATGACAGCCTGTTTGCATTAAAGTATAATGAAAGTCAGATTCTTAACAATGAGGAACTCTGATGTAAGAACTAAGTGAACATTTTAAATGTACTCCCATGAGAGAAACTTCCAGTTCTGGAAACTTGATAGCAATACAAACCCCCTTCTTTTCACACAGCCTCCTCAGAGCAAAGGTTGCTAAAATTGACTCAACTGTAATACATGCTTCTATATGAAGGCTTAGCTTTATATGCTTATTTTTTTATTTTGCTGTATACACTAAATCTCAGTTTAAAATATTTTGGTAATTAAGATATATTGTTTACCATGTGTAATAATAGAATGGTTTTGTAGCCATGTCAGTTCTTATAAAATTGTAACTTTTATTCTAAGTTTTCAGGACTTTTTAGTACTGGTCTGAATATTTCTTGTTTTCTGCAGAGGAAAAATAGTACTTATGCCTTTTTTGTGCAGCTTCTTTGTATGTGTATTGAGCGTACTAGTACTCAACTTTATAATAACCATAACCAGAATCAAGCTTCCATATTATTATTCATTTATCTTAGCTGTGTTACAGAAGATGGACTTGCTAGTAGGACTTATATCCCCAGTGGCTAAAGTCTAAAGACAACTGAGTGTGATGTTTTAGAACTGACATCACATGTTCCAAGAGAGTTATTTCTAACTAGTGCTGGTACTATGAATAAATTCCTTACCTTTAGTACACTACCAATTGCTTAGTATTTGACAATTGTGATTTATTTGTTCTGGTTCAGGTTTCAGAATTGGAGATGGTTGGTTGGTTTGTTTGTGATTTTATTTTCCTTTGTCTGCATTATAACCCATCCAAATTAAACACAGACACTTGAAATGCAACCTGCATTCTGCTGCTTTCTCAAAGGGCACCACTCTAGGAAGGTCATTTTCAGTAACAGGCCTGATAGCACCTAGTGTAAAAAGAAAAAAATCCCAACTCCTTTCAAAGGCTCACAGTGTAGAAGAACCTTGCAGCCAGTATACCCTATAGCTGTTTCAAATGTGAACAAGACAATCACACAGAATCTGGTAGCAGGTGATCTTTCCTTTTGTGTTTGCTTGGTACTGTAAATCAGACATTATTGTTGATGCAGACTCTCCTTTTTCACATTCGTTTTACTCCAGCTTATTTGTGACCTTGAAGTCTGTCTTGATTTTTCAGCTAGGCAGACTTATTTTGGTTGATAGTATGGCAAGTCCTGGCTGTCATCCATATTTGCCAGATATCAGTGTGTTTTTACTTACTTCTGTAGGAACACTTCCTAACATCTTTTCCTTGTTGTTGTGCAGTACTCATTTTACATGCAGGAGGTGATTATAGAATGGCTCAAGCTGGGAAAATTGTAAGAGATCCTCATTCTCAGAGAGGCTTAATAGCTCTGGGTCTACAGGATTGACAAATTACCAGTAAATGTTCAAATGGGAGATGGTGAACTAACAGCTGTACCAGTTCCATGGTTAAGAGCAGTACATCCAGGAGTTTGCATAATTTGAAAGAAAGTCCCATAAAGTAGCACAAGTGATTGCAGTTTAGCAGGTCACATTCATGAAGCAAGTGGGAAACAAAGTAGTTTATATTGTCCTGGATGATTTTTCAGCTGACTTGTAAACTGCTGTAGCATGTCTTATATTTAAGGTATTTCAAGTATAAAGATGGATACTTATTCTCTAAAAAGAACTTAAATGGTCTGTGTTCTTTTGGTGATCTGAAATCACCCTTAGTGTTAAATCAGTTTTAGTTTTGACATCATGAAGTTTGGTTTAGATACCGCATTGCAGCAAATTGTGTTGTTCATAATTATTTCAGTCATCATTCTAATGGATTTTAAAAGATGGAAAGCATTTCATTTTATCTGTTTTGCTTATAATTCATTTTTTACAGCTGTGTTCCTCCTGTCCACTTTACCAAATCTATCTGGATGGTACCTGATATAAAACTTTCAATCTGCTGCCAAACACATGAGCATAAATTGTATACCAACTGGTTTTCTGTTTGCAAAATTTGTTTTCTGGTAGAAGCATTAAACCATTGTCAGAATTCCCATACTAAGTGGGGAATTCATGGACATGATATGAATCTGAATCCTGTTGTGAAAATATATCTTATTATGTAATGTATAAAAAAACCTAGAACAAGAATTAGGATGTTGGATATACTTTCTTTTATTTTAGTGTCACTCAGATTTTTAGCTTCTTTTCATATAACCTAAAAGCTTTGGTCTGTGTAGCAAATCCATGTCAGAACAATTCCTGATATTACTAAATGCAATGTCTCTATTAAAAATTCCTCATTCCTTCACTATCTCTAGTCTGTTCTATGCTGTTTCGTCCCCTTAATCTCAACTGGCAGTACTCCCACTTCGTTATCATGGTGAGTACCTTCTTGTTTCAGCCTGTTGACTCTCTGCTGGTACTCAGGCAACCACTTGTAATAGTATTGCCTGTCTCTTAGAAACTCAAATGTTTGAATTTTCTAAAGGCAGTTTATAATGATCAAGTGCTGCTTTGGGCTTTCTACACCGTTTAGCTTTTATTCTGATATCTCACTTTGGCTTACCACTTTTATCAAGATTGAAGGTTATCCACATATTTCAGTGTATTCATATATGTAGTACTTTAATTGGTTGCCACATTCTTATTTTGCTTTGACAATTCAAAAGGAATATGGCTTCTTGGAAAAGGGACTACATTTGAATCAATGTTTGGTGGTCTGTATTGTTTTTTTCTCTTTCTTTTCTTTTGTTAGTAAAGCATACAACCTAATTGTCATGCCTTCATACTGAATGGCCTTGTTATCATAGGTTTACCACAGGATGTTAAGTCTTTGGTTATCTCTTACTTTTACAGCTGCTGGGGCTGCCCACCAGTAATCTCTGTGCATTGTGAGAATTCCCACACATACATTGTCTTTTAGACTTATTTTGTTTGAGTTTATTAACTCAGGATGGTATTTTATGTTATGACCTATTATTCTGTCTCTCCAAAGTGATACTAGTAATTCAGAGCTCCTAAAATCTCAGTTTCTCTTCTGAGAGGAACTGTTCAACCCCTCACTGAATTCCTAGGATGTGCTAACTGGACTTTGCTACATTCCTTTAATCTCATCCATCTTTTCCAGCAAAGTCATCATATCCTTTACATCTGCTTTAAGGTCTTCTTTTCAAGAGTAATTGTGATACTGTCCACATCCCCAGTGGTATAAACTAAAAATGTTACAAATGCCAACAGTTGAGTCATGAGAAAAAACTGTGTGGGAAAACCATTCAAAGATGTTGTACTGTTTTCTAGCTGTCTTATACTTGCATTCTTATTCTACTCTCCAAACTTACGTGCAGAAGTGTGTGGAAAGAGACTTTTATGATAATTTGAGCTATTCTGTCACAGCTGGTCCAAGTAACAGGAAACCATAACTCTTCCTTATTGGGCATGTGGGAGCAGGTATGCACTGGGAATGCCCTGACAGTCTCTGACAGCAGACTTGAGACTCACCATGACCAAGCAGTGTGCCCATGTGGCCATAAGGCCAGTGGATCCCTGGCTTGGATCAGAAATAATGTGGCCAGCAGGACTAGAGCAGTGATTGTCCCTCTGTACTTGGAAGTGGTGAGGCCTCAAATCCTGTGTTTAGTGTTGGCCCCTCACTACGAGAAAGACATTGAGGTGCTGGAGCATGAGCAGAGAAGGGTAACAAAGCCAGTGAAGTATCTGGGGCAGAAGCCAGACCAGAAACCACTTCTTCTTATAAGAAGTGGCTGAGGGAACTGTGGTTGCTTAGCCTGGAAAAAGGAGGCTCAGGGGAGACCTTATTGCTTTCTACAACTGTTCAACAAGAGATTGTAGTGAGGTGAAGTTCAATCTCTTGTCCAGGGTAAGTGATAGGATGAGAAGAAATGGCCTCAAGCTGCACCAGGGAAG